TGAGGTAAATTTTTGTTTGAAGAATTATATACCTGCCCTTTTTGACTGGTCAAGTGCACACTTTTAACCAAATTTATCCCAAAGGTAACTTGAAATCCAATGGGCACTGGATTTGAGTTTTCTTTATCTGATGTGACACTGGAAAAATGTGTTTTAAGAGGCTGGCGTGTTTTCCGCTTAAATAATGTGCTGATTTTCCAAATGTTCTTATGTATATCACAACTACAATTAACATTTAGGGGCACAGCTTTTAAAATTGGAATTTAAAACATCTTATTTAAAAAGCTGTGCATGTTCTTATATAAAGCCCCGCTCTATAATTAAGTTTACTGTGTGCTTCAAACTGTTGTAAAACACAGTTGTCTTAGGGAGGAAAACAAGAGGGTCATTTAATTTTGTTTGTTGAGTGAATTTTCTGGTGTGAGTTGTGGAAACCAGTCTTATAATTAGACTCATACCTCATATAAGTAAACAATCACCATAGGGAGAGCTATTCTTAATAAATGCCAGTGTTTTCTATTTCTGCTTCATTATATAAACAGGCTTCAGTAGAGACCTTTGTTTTACAGAAAGGAACCTTAGCTTTGAAGTTCATCCTCATTAACATTCAACCTTTCACTATCATTTTATAAGTTAAAAAAGAAAATGTTTACTATGAGGAAACAGCAGCACTGACATACCTTGGATCAAAGTTTCCTTAAAATGCCATACAACAAAAAAGACTCAAGAATTTATCTCTTATTGAGCATTCTCCACCCCACCTCCTACTCCTCTACCCTAAGCAGCTTCTTTTCCGCTATAAAGTTATTAGTTCAGAAACCACGCAAATAGGTTAACACAGTATATCCTTTTCGTAGTAAAATTATAACTTCCTTAGTCTAAGGAAGTACTTTCTGGGTCTACCTTCAATTAATAAGACTACCATTTTCTGAACTTTCTTCTTGTTGCCAAGGCTGGAGTGCAATGGCACGATCTCGGTTCACTGCAACCTCCACCTCCCAGGTTCAAGTGATTCTCCTGTCTCAGCCTCCCAAGTAGCTCGAATTACAGGCATGCACCACCACGCCCAGCTAATTTTTTGTATTTAGTAGAGACATGGTTTCACCATGTTAGTCAGTCTGGTCGCAAACTTCTGACCTCAGGTGATCCACCTGCCTCAGCCTCCCAAAGTGCTGGGATTACAGGCATGCATCACCGTGCCCGGCCCATTTCCTGAACTTTAACATTTACTGTGGACCAGGCACTGTGTTAAAACCAAAACCTTATCTCAATCTTTAGAACAATCCTATGAAGTCAGTACCATGATTATTCCCATTTTGTTCTTGAAAATATTAAAGGTCAGAGACAGAGGTTAACAAAGTCTCACAGTTAATGTGTGGCAGAGTTGGGTTGAAGCCCAGGGCTGTCAGACCTGGCATTGAGAAAGAACACTTACATAGTGAAGCTATCAATAAGGACCTATCAGAAAGTTGTGATAAAGAATTCAACTCAACTATACTAATCAAGTGATTTGCACCACTGTGGAAATTATTTTTATGGAGTTCAGTAACTGCATTGATAGTAAGGACTTCTATTATATATATTCTTCTTACTAAGTCTTTGAGAATAGTTGTGAAACTGGTAACTAGACTATGTGTTCCAAGTGGCAATGAGAGTTTTTGACAGGATACATATTATTACTTTTTGAGATGGAGTTTTGCTCTTGTCGTCCAGGTTGGAGTGCAAAGACACAATCTCGGCTCACTGCAACCTCCGCCTCCTGGTTTCAAGTGATTCTCCTGCCTCAGCCTCTGGAGTAGCTGGGATTACAGGCGTGTGCCACCACGCCCAGCTAATTTTTGTATTATTAGTAGAGATGGGGTTTTACCATGTTGGCCAGGCTGGTCTCGAACTCCTGACCTCAGGTGATTCACCTGCCTTGGCCTCCCAAAGTGCTGGGATTACAGGCGTGAGCCACCGAAGCTGGCCATGATTTAATTTTTAAGATTAAAAAATAGGATAAAGAGTTTTGGGGCAGAAAAGAAGCATGTGATGGCTGTTTGTCAATGAAACTTCTGAGAAACAAGAAAGGAGGACTGCCTATGATTATATCTAAATGCTACAATAAATTTGACTGACAAGAGGGACGTAGGAGACCCCGCATAGAAAAGATGTTTTAATGAAAAGGAAGTGAAACACCAAGTCCACATATAAATTTTTAATAAACTTTTTGTGTCTATGTCATATTTCATAATATGTTTTTCCTAAATGCTTAACCTAGGAAAACCATACATGTGTGCACACCCATGTCAAACACACAAATGAATTTAACAGTGCAGTTTATGAAATGAAAGCAATAATAATTTGACTCTTCAGAACCACTTCATTTTGGACTATGTCAAGCTCTCTAATCTTTTCTCCTCAATGGTAGACCATGGTTAAGGGACAAATGATAACGTACAAGGTTTTCAATTGCTAACTACCAAATTTTCATAGGTTACAGTATTACTCAAAAAGTTGTTTTGTCTTGTTTCTTCAAATCTTGAAATAACTTGCTTTGCTGACTCATCTGACTACATTTTTAATGAGGACTGGCTTTATTAGCACTTATAGAAAAAAAGCTCAGCACTCCACATTGAAAGCCAAATCAAAGAGATGGTTATTTGTAGTGTGGAGTAATGTATGCTCCGTCTCTCCTTACAACAGAGCCAAAGGTCACAAACATTTACAGAAAACCTGCTTATGTCCCAGGTACTCTGCTAGGCACTTTCCTAACTTGTCTAAAGTCACAGCATAGGCAGGGTATGGTGGCTCATGCCTGTAATTCCAGCACTTTGAGAGGACGAGGTGGGCAGATCACCTGAGCCCAGGAGTTTGAGACCAGCCTGGGCAACATGACAAAACCCTACCTCTACAAAAATAAGCTGGGTGTGGTGGTGTGTGCCTGTAGTCCCAGCTGCTCAGGAGG